CTGAAGTTCAGGAAACCATGTTTTCCTTTTAGCTAAAGCCATTTCTCCTTTTGATGTGTGAGAACTAGTCTTTCCAGCAGCTAAACAATAGGGAGTGTATTCTGGAAGTCCTTGAATACACTTGCAAGTATTAAGAAAGATACAAACTTGACTGGGAAAGGGGGTGACGTAACCCATAAATTTGCCACTTGTGGAATGTTATCTAGGATCAATGTTTTCTATTGTTTAATTATCACGTCTAATTAATGTCTTTTATTGATTTGTTGCTTTCTGACACATCACATATACCGAATGTATGTATCATTTATTTCTGAACCCTATGCAAAGACTTGACCCACCTTAATAAACGCTTTTCGCTTTGTCTAAAGTACTGGTGAAAAAGCCACTTTGCAAAGTTCTCTCCCAAATTCAGGGATCAGTTTTTATCAACTCCACGGCAAATATGGGTGCCTGAGTTAAGACAACAGTTTACTTTATGGTTTTTATTGTACATCACCCAGAGTCATGTTTTGTGAGATGGGTGCATATCAATATGATAAATAAATAAACTATGAGAAAGAATGGCACACTTAATTTCCAAGCTGTAACTGAAGGTGACTACAGATTTTTAGCTAAATTCACCCTGCCAGGGTCAACATGGCTGGCCCAGCAAGAAACGTGCAGCATTGCTAGCTGTAACTGCACAAGCAGTATAATATTAATACCTCAATTAGGCTAGGGTTTAGTCACCCTCACACTCATGTTTCAGAATAAGGGATTTGGCAGTTGGCACAATTATCCGCAGTTTGCACAGGCCTAGCTCAGCATGTTATGTGCTGAAATCCTAAATGGCTCGGGAAAAGCTGTTGAAAATTTCTCTGAATAAAGTCTGTGGTCCAAAAATTGACAACTTCTAAGCAAGCTGGGGAAGCTGTGAGAGGGATGGCAACATTGAAACATTTTAATTATCCACAAACACCGCCATTCCTTGAGCGACGTTGATATTTTTGCCATCTGTGTCTGCATTCCACCAAAGCAAGATTGACTTTCTCACAGCTGTACTGGAAGGCAAATTCAAGAAATGTAGATATGCAGCTCTACCTCTGTCCGCGTGGTGAGGCTGTTTATTTATTTATCAAATTTATATAGCTGCTCATCTCATTCTCTCATATATCTATATATATCTATATCTGACTGACTGACTGACTGACTGACTGACTGTGGGCAGCTTATAAACAATTAAGACAAATATAAAAACTACAACAAAAATACAGCAATTTAAAAAGAAGAAAAAGAAAACAAAACATATTAAAAAAATAACAAAATACATAAAACTCACAGCCCATGGTAGTTTATCCTGTTCATTAAAACAATTACTACTGTTCCTGAAGCAATGGCTCACCTGCTTTTATATTGCACCTTCTGTAAGTATATTTATGAACATTTAATCACGCTCATTAATTTTCCATGTCACTTGGATTCATTTTATCTTTGTTTCTTGGAGTCCATCCAGAATGATTTAGTTTCCTTATATGTGGCAAAACCTGATTTTAATGCATGCAGAAAGAGTGAGCTTTTACCGTTTTATTGAGTTATCTGTTTTACTGAGATTTTCTGGGCTTTGATTGTAATAAAACATTCATTCATTTAGGAGTGTATTTGTTTTCTCTACTCCAGCTTTTCCTACCCAGTTGTTTTCAACTACAACTCCCATCCCTCTTGCCAATTGCCAGGTCTGGTGGTTAATAAAACATGGACTTACTTACTGCACTAAAACCTTCATATTTAATAACTCACAGATTTTCTTGAGCAGGAATTCAGCAACACGGAATGCTTTGTCCTTTCTCTTGCAATGCATATTGCAGAAGTCCTTTTTCTTCTTCTTCCAACAATGAATGTCCCCAGTGTTTTTCATACCTTTACCATCCTGCTAAGGTATGAAAAACACTGGGGACATTCAGCATGTTGGAAGCATGTTGTGGACACCCTCACAAAATGACTGCTACACTGGGCCTTGCCAGTCGCAAAACACCTATCTACAGAAGGAATCTGGATGAGATCGCACCATAAGGATGTTTTTTAGGAATCCAATATACTTTTTTCTGTTTTTTTCTGGATGGGTGGGTGTTTTTCCAAATGCCCCCCTTCATTTTTATTGGCTGAGAATGGTTATGCAGCCAAAAAGGAGCCAGTAAATAAACAGTTTGGGCATTCTGTTTTGTACTAGGCCAAATACTCCCTCTTTTTAAATTAAAATAATACAACAATACATATTAGAAGTAGATAAGCCAGAAAATCTGGAATCTTTCTAAGCTGTAAAAGAATGCAGAGATGACCTTGGGAAGGTATGAGAGAGCTATTAAAAGAGAAACGAAGGAGTGAGCCATTAAACAATCCAAAGACAGAAGCATGAGAAAGCAACTCAAAAAAACCACTGCCTTGATTCTGTTGAGTATAAGACATGACAGAGAACTTGCACGGGTTTTCCACATTCTGCTATTCTACCTTACTACTGTAAAAATCATTCCTGAAATCCATGCCACTTCTGGTTCTTGACTGGGCCTACTTAGGAGGGCTGACCGACGTCCAGGCAGGTTGCCTGAAACTGGTATTGAGAAAGTAGTTCACACCGGAGAATACAGAACAATTGGGTCCTTGTTACAGTATAGAACCCGGTGGGGGGTAAACAATCACAAGGTAATACTCAAATCTCATGGTGAAATAGCCCTGTTCAAAATGAACGCATTTTAATTTGTACTTGAAGCAAAGTAGTCCAAAAGCGTTTTGTTCTGAGTGTGGAATATCTGAAATGGCCACTGAATAAATGTTATGGGGCAGCTTGAAAAGGGCAATGCTGTACCTAAAAGTAGCATAGCGATTAACCTCTAGGTACGAAGGGAACGTACTTAGTGATGCGTCTAGGTACAAAGGGAATCTGCCCACCTTTGTTTTTGATCTGATTTTCAGCCTGGAAACCTGAATTACTGCAATGAACGAGCACACGTATTTGGAGATTTTTTTCCCCAACACGCCGATTACATGATTAGCTGAAGGACTGCTTGGCACTACATCAGTCTGCCGCAGAGCTAAGAATGGCTTCCAAAGGTTCTATTCAACCTTTATGGAGAACCGTGTAACTCCAAATGGCACATTTATTCAAGCAGGCTTTGAAATGCCTCTCTTTTTAATTGGATTTTAATCTTTTCATGTTCATATTGATTCTTTAATGTCAGGTCACTTTTTTCTTCCTTATAAACTTAAATAAGAAAAGCAGGATATTGTAAGACTGAGCTCCATTGACTAGTATCTATTCACCAACCAAATGATTTCAGTTGGCACACTAATTCTCCTTCCCTTGATCCCTCAAGTGTAACAGATTTCTGGGACATCCAGTATAGCAGAATAAGGACAGTTTCCATGGTACAAATGAAACCTCCTATGATGTCCCATTCTCTCTTGATATCCTCTCTAAAAGCCAGATTGGGTTAAGAGTTAAATGAAACAAGGGCCAAACAGTGATTAAAAAACAAGGACATTAGCATGAGAGCTTATAGGACCCCTCAAGTCCTAGCACAGGTATTCGACTTACAACCATTCGTTTAATGACCACTTGAAGTTACAACAGCACCAAAAAAGGTGACTTACGACCGGTCCTTATGACCGTCGCAGCGTCCCCACGGTCACATGATCAAAATTCAGGCACTTGGCAACTGGCATGTTTACGACAGTTGCAACGTCCCAGGGTCACATGATTGTCATTTGCAATCTTCCCAGGGGGCTTCTGACAAGCACAGTCAATGGGGGAAGCTGGATTTGCTTAATGATTATGTGCTTCGCTTAATGACCACAGCAAAAAGTTGTAAAATTGGTGCAACTCACTTAACAACTGCAGTTAGCATTCTGGTCCCAATTGTGGTCATAAGTCAGGGACTATCTGTAGTAACAGTAGTAAATTTATTCATCATTCATTATTCACCTATAACCAGGTGCAATACAAATGCAGAAGATTCATATGATATTCCAAATATAGTCAGTGTTGTTCATCAATTATGAATATTGGACAGCAGATGGACAAAGATGGAAAATCAGAAACAGGAAAATAAATTAAGGGAACTTTCCTGGGTTCCTTATACCTTGAAAATTTCAAAAGAAAAGTTTGCCAACACAATGAAAAGCAGCACCACTCTTAGGGGTTAAGTGACTGCTAAATTATTTTGTGGCAAGTCTTGCTTGTCTAGAAATAAAACAGAACAGTTATGATTAACGATGGAGAAACAAATGTTTTATTTTTTTTTTCCTTCCTTCATTTCAATCAACAGAGCTTGGCACGCTAGAACTTAGATGTGCCATACCGCCGACACACCCACGATTATAACGTTCTGAACAGGACTTGGCACTTACACGTCGTATCAATACTGAGATTTTGTACGCTGCATGGTGACTCTGCCAAATTAAACCAGTGATTTCTGTAAACATACCAGCTGTATGCGATCAAAATCCATCATTTCAACTCAATTCAGCCGGGGGAAGGGGGCAAGGAAATTAAAAAAAAAACCCCAAGAATTGCAGAGCCAATTCAGTTAGCAAGGTCTAAAGAATCCTATTGTATCACTGCCTTTAGGATTCCTCGAAGCACCTTGTAATTCATCAGCTGCTGGTTCTCCTTTGGAGGGAAGCATGCGCCGCGTTCAGTCACATAGGCGTAAGGAAAGCGAAGGACCCACAGCCCATCGGGCGGAAGAGTTATCTCTTGTTTCTCTGGATAAAATACAGGGCAAGGAGGTGGCCCGGGCTGTACCTGGGGGAGAGGAGAAAGAAGCAATTTTCATTTTCAGTTCCTTTTGCATAAAGCAAATTAACTATAAATTAGTTACTTTTATGGGGGACAGTGTTTTGAAAACTCCGTCATGGAGTTTTCAAATAGGCAAATTCCCACCTGCACTCGGTACGCTCACTCCCCCCTCTTCAAATCTTCATTTTGGAGATTTGAATTTGTTATACTGCCATGCTCACAAAGACCTTTTTTACAATCAGGCAGAAGAATCCACATTTGCATCCACAAATGCTAAGCCGTCATGTGGTTTGTTCGGTTTTGGCTTAGAACGTTACGTGGTTTGTAATTTACGGTATATTGTTCAGCCTAAAGGGCAAACCTCTGTGAGTTCTGTAGGCAATCTGTCCTGTGCCTGACCCATTCTCCCCCACACTGCAGATCGGAGAGGAAGGGATTACAAGAGAATAAGCAAGCACACAATGGGGAATTCAGTGGGCTGTTTGGGCAACATGCTTGGGGCTGCTGTGTAACGGATGGCATGAGTGGGGAAGATCCTGGAACGGAACTTCAAGGTTGTCAGGAGGGGGGAGAGACATTCCAGGGCAAGTGCCTCCCCAGCCCACAGCAAGAGGGCTGGACCCTCCCTAGAATCTCACGGGTTATAGCCACTAGTTGCTTTAGCATAGGTTGAG